ACAATCCATACACTCATTTCCCAGTTTATTACATACACCAACGATAAAACTAAGACTAATCTAAGTCCTGCAATAAATCCACCCTGAGGTGACAACTGGTTTTCACTGACACCGTTTCAGGGAGGCATTGATACGTTGGTGCATCGGGTTGAAATGTACAAGTTGTAATGAGCGAAGTTTCAAATGACTCCCCTATCATTGATACAAACACGGTGGACAAAATATTAGAAACACATTAAGTAGTAACATCACTCTGTAAAAATACTGAAAGTTTTACATGCAAGAGCTGAATAAAGTACAAAAAGTAGTCCTCATTGCTCTTAATGGTCCCTTTCAGTGTTGTACCTTTTTGTATATTATTTAAATATAACCACATAAGAAGCATTTTAGTGTTGCAGCTAGTCCAGGTGGAGCTCATTCTAACCACTTTATATGCTGCTGGATAGTTTAATCTATAGCAATTCATATTTTATAGTTTTGTTTGTAAAATCTCAGTCTGTAAAGTGGACTGTAGTGAAATACTGTAGTTCATTTCCAATGAAACTACAGTCCACTGAAATACTGTAGTTCATTTCCAATGAAATGTGGACAGAAGACAAAAAGTAGCAGGAAATGGAAATGGTAAAGTAAAATAAAACTACAACAAAATTGTCCTACTGTACAGTTCTTGAGTTAATGTACTGTCTGTATTTTCCACCACTGTGCAGCCTTCCTGGAGGTCTGCATCAGGGCTCATTTAATAAACTGGTAAATGGGCAGTGAAACCTTTGTACATGTGGGTTGAATAATATAATGGCGGGCTGGTAACTCACTTGCAGGCTCTGGTGTTGACGCAGATCGTCCTCACATCATCGGTGGTGGTGAGTTCCTCGATCAGTTCTTGCAGGTGCTTTGTCACAAATTTGCGGCACATAGATTTTAATAAGCCAATTTGGTCGCAGATGGACTTCAACTTTGTTTTTGATTTTAAAAAGCCAAGTTGGTCGCAGATGGACTTCAACTTTGTTGTTATGTTCTGAAAGAGTAAAATTTACTTTATTTACTCCATCTAGATCCTCCTCCCTGCTCTGCTGTCAGACTTTGACATTTTATTTTACCTCCGTGGTGGTGTTTGGTCCGATCACTGCCTTCACCTTGTTTAAAGCCCACTTACAGGCCCAGCACAAACCTGGACGCTGTAAATCAAAGCAACACATCATTTTAATAAAGAAATGTCATAAAAATACATTGTGTTGGGGAAAATGTTAAGCAGTATATAAACAGCTAAAACATTATACTTTAATTTGTAAACATTTAAAGTATTTGTCACTAACCTGTGAAATATAAGTGCTGCAACTAATTGAAAATGTAACAAGGTCTGCCCCTGCTAAAATGAAGTGCTACTCTCATCTTAATAAGGGTAGATGCCTATTACAATGAAGGTAGCAGATATTGTTTATCTGTAATCTGCTTTTAAGAAATAATGAAACCTTTGGTTCTCCACAAGAATCTATGCCAAAAATTTGTGATTGACCCACAAGGTCCCTGCTTCTTAAGGCATAAGCGGTAAAACTAGGGTTTCACAATACAACATCATCACATTTGAGTAAATAAGCATAATCGCTTATTTAAACTCTGGTTGGATGATATTTAGACAGCTTCTGACAATAATGGTAGTAGCACATCACCAAAAGATTCCACCCCTTGTCAGATTAAGGTTTTACACAAAGAAGCACAGAATATGCTTCATTTAAATAGGTGAGAGGTCAAATGAGCCAATATTTCAGCAATAGCAAGTATTTTTTTTAAATCCCTGAATTTTCCTCCCTCGTCTCCTGTCCCGTTGATCGTGTCATGACCCTTCAGACTTATCTTGTAACCACTAGAGGGGGCCAGAGCCCAAAGATCAACTACCGAACTATATAAAGCATTTAGTCACATCAATCTGCTACAACAATAAAATGCTGCTGAATCACTGGCGCATCAGTATTGACAGTAACAGGGATGCTTTTTTTTTTCCTGCAGAATGATCACTACTACTTTTAATACCAACATTCTGTGTCTGTGCCCAAATTCAAGATCAGGGTTGGTCTTGGAAAATTACACTTTACTGAACATTTTGTCAGCTAAAATTCTAAGGCAGACTCTTCACCTTGCCAGCCTCCACAGAGATTTCCACGTCCACTTGCTTCTGATCATCAATGCTGACCTCAAAGGTTCTCCCGTGAACTGTCCAGACTGTGAAAAGACAAAATAGAGTTAAAATAGACTTTACATAATAAAGACAATATTATAGAAAGAAAAACATGGAGGATGGCAAAGAGCCCAGCAGAGCACCTGAACATGTCACCAGGATGCACACAAGTAGAACTGAAGATGTCTCCATTGCTGGCAGTGAGATGTGATATCTGAGTCCGCTGATACTCCACCTCTTATATAGGGTGGGCCACAGAAAAGTAGCTCACCCTAGTAGTAGCATATGACGGAGATACAAGAGAAATTGAAACCACAATCTGTACCCGGTCATAGTGCAGGCAGTTTCAGATGGTTTTGTTGAGACCACCTTCACAAAAACCTTCCTCACGCCACCTACTCTTCATATCATCTTTTGTCTGTCAGCGAACATGCTTTCACAGCCACATGTGGATTGTGCCTCAAAAAAAAGCCCCTATATTTTCTGATCTATCAAAAACATGCCAAGTTTAGAAAGTGAATCGTCAGTTTGGTGGGAACTGATGATTTGCTGTAGCAATCCCTAACGGGAGCAGCCGGAGGTAGAGGAAGAAGAAGATTTTCTGATCTGTCGTGTGTGTAGATCAAAATTCTATCTTCTAAACTGAAAATAAACAGTCCTCAGATAAAGGAGGGAAACACTGTACTGTTATAGACCAATTAAAAGCTAATTGGGATTTCAATGGGGCTAAAACCCTGGAATAACTTGACTATTACAAGTTTCTCGTAGGTAAAATAATTCATTACGTCCGACTTGTGTTTTTTTTTTTTTTTTTTTTTTAAATATATTGAGACTTAAGGCTACTCTTACTTCTTTTTAGCTATAAAACAGTGCTAGCAGCTTAGTGTTATCTGCATAGATTAGCACTGTGTTGTGTGTGTGTGTGTGTGTCATGGTTTCTCACCTCCTCTTCATGGTAGTCTGCTCTTTTCCTCACATGGAGTTTTAACCAAGATGGAAGGTTCTCTTAAGCTCGGTCCCCCACAACTCAGCAACGGCTGAAATAAAAATGTCTGAGTAAATAGAAGAACAATATCAAAGTAAGTCATTACCTTCTTCCTCACAGATATCAGAAGAATAGCGATGCTGATGCCAGGACTCGTGGTTGTTCTTGCGTTGTCATGTGAGAAACATACTTTTATTGTAAACTCAACCTGGTAGAAATAATTTATCTGCAGTACCTATATGAGTATGAACACTTAGACCGTTTTTTTGTTTTGTTTTGTTAGATATGGTCTGCAAATAACACAGGACCCAAATGCATAACACACAGGACTGAATAAAAGGTAACCAAGTTTACTGGGGTGATATTTAATGGGACAAACCACCCTGGGGGCTTGGGGTAGTGGAGCAGAGTGCAACACAAGGTAACTGGTTCTAGCAACATACTGTAGCAGGAGGCCCTGACTCAGTAGCAGCGGAGGACCCTTTATTCACTTATGTTTTTTTTTTAGTTCTCTTTACAGGGAAACCTTGAGGCTGGACTACAGAGACAGTGGCGGACTGTCCGAGTAGCAGGAGACAGGACCAGTCGATGCAGGTGAGAAACCAAGTAAGGACTGATAGCCTTCTTCCAAGGCTGAACTGCAGAGCCTTGTAACCAGAAGATGAGTAATAGCGTAGGCATAGACTATATTTTAAAACCAGACTTGTCTGGTTAGACTGGAGAGAAACATAGATGACAGTAGTGCACCCACTTAAAGACTGAACAAAAGAAGCAACTGAGCAGACTAGGTAAGAATGGTAGAAAACAGAGCACTCAGGCACAGATGGCAAGTACTGAACCAGATAGGTATTACAATAACATGCAGCGCTTGTCATTTCTCTCCACAGGAGATAACGTTCACACATTAGGAGTCAAGCCAGGTAAGTAGTGTGTGGATGGTGAGCATCAAAACACACAGGTATAAAAAAAAAAAAAAAAAAAAAAAAAAATCCTTTTTTTGTGACAACTGAACAGAGCTCAGTGATAAAACACAGCAGATCATACAAAATCACAAAAACAAGATATGGCCTAAAACAACTTCATAATATGGACCAGGTCCAAACGAAAAGACTAAAATGCCCCCCACCCCCTAATTTGTTTTTCAGGAGTCCAACAAACAGGCCAGAGTTATACACAGAGAGCCAACTTGTGATTAATCAAACTATCTCTTCTCCATTAAAGTACCAATTTTGCACATTTTATTTATTTATTTTCCAAAGCACTTCATACCACTGCTAAATGTTTTAGTGTTTTATCTTTATAAATGTTTTTGCCTAGTTCCCTAAGTGTTTTTGTTGTTCAGTATTCATTGATCTTTTAAGTTACATGATCCTTGAGCAGCTGAAACTGCAGAGTAATCGATGCTACTGCAGCTTGTTCATGAACTGTTGAGAAACTCGGTGGAAAACTCAGCAGCCCCGTAACAATGTTTGATGGTTAGTGAAACACAAACCTAACATGCCTCTCTGATCATGGACAGACAAAAACCTGCATATAAATTACAATTAATGTGCAACACTCTTTACCCGTAACTTCACTACAACTACGGTGAAGTCTGTAGATGTAGGGGCAGTTTCCTTGCTGGTTTTCACAGGTTCATCTGGAGACATTGACACAGACCACCACAAACTGCAAACTGCCTCATTTCTGTCACACCTCCTGTGACTATATTTAACAATTCACCACTGACAGATCATACAAACCCTTTTTATGGTAAAGGAAACAAGTATCTACATCTGTGTGTAGGGCACCCGAGAGTCTGGGTCCACTGAACAGAGACATTTCTCAGTGCTGTTGTATTTAATGTTTGAACCTAATTTGCATTTTAATGTTTTATCTGCGTTTTATCTTGCATGATAATCCACCACTGTAACATTTTAGGCAAGTCCAAAAACAAGGAAAAGCACCATGGGCTCTTTAAGTAAAGGCAATTTTTGGTGTACTGAGATGCATTAAGCGCTCACAACTTGGGTATATGTTTTTATCTTGTGGCAGTGAATTTCTGTCACAGCTTTCATTAGAGGGAAACATTGAAGAAAAGAAATGTTGACACCATGAAAGTCATAACACCTTTGGTTACTGTGATAAAGAAGGAATTTTAATCTGGTACGAACATTATGTACAATATAGCATTCTTGGACATTTAATAAAGCCAAGTTTCAGTGAAGAGCAACCTTTTAAAAGATATAGTATATCTACTATGATTGCACTCCTCATCATCAATGCACTTAAAAAGAATCTGACCAAGGTCTCAGAACAGTCTATGCTGAGGAAGAGGAAAACCACATGAGTGATCACATTTAAAGTTAACATGCCAACTATGAATGCATGAATCACTGTCTCAGAGGTGCCATGTTGTATTTATGGTCACTTCCTGCAAATCATGCTGTAGAACTTTGACTACCACATCATTAAAAACACAGCCTCTAGCTGTACCAACCTCACTCCCATCTGCTATAGCGATGAAGATGGCAATCTTTGATTAAAACCAACCAAAAATAACAAAGTAAATCAGTCAAATCAATACAAAACTAAATATTTTGAAGACAAATCTAGCAGATTCTGCAGCTTGGAGATGATGCAAAATGTAAAAATTGCTAAACAGGTTTTGAAAACTTTCCATGATTTTAGTGATGATAACAGCCTACCTTCATCGTCATTAACACTGAACCTGAGGAGTGTGAGGGTGATATTTTTGGAAGACCAGAGAGATTTTAGGACATCTTTGATTTTGTCAAACTCCTCTGAAATACTCCCCCACATTTCTTTGTTGCACCTGATCTGGTTTGCTGCTTCTCATCACTTACAAGAGAAGCATATGGGACACTTTAGTTCTGTCACAGGGCTGTGATTATATGCTAGAGGATTTACAGAAAGGTCTTCAAACAGATGCTTAGGGGATTTAAGTAAAACAGGCTATTTTATAGCAAACTCTTTTTGCATAAAGATTTGTCAGGGATTTTTTTTTTTCATCCATTCAATAACCTAGTATCAACTGCTGTGTACAGTATGAAAAGCAAAGGTTTTGCTTGGAACAATGTAAAAGCATGAGAACTATTTTAGGATCAATGCCAATGTATGTAAAGAAAAATAATCATTGCAGTAGGGATTTCCTTTTCTCTGGCCTTAAAAGCCAGCTCCAGTTTCAGAAAATAAACATTTGCAGCAGATTAAAACGAAGTGGGGGGGGACACTGGCTCTATAAATTATGTCAAATCCAGTGATACAGCGATCTATTGTCTCCTTGCAAACAGGCCGTTTGTCTCTCTCTGTGCTGAGAGGGGGTGAGGAAGGTCTGACTTGCAACAAAGTGGAGTCCTCAGTGAAAAACCCAACACCACTAAAGTTCAAACTCCAGTTTGTCATCTCCCTTTTCGCAGCATTTTGTAGGTTCAATGTCCTCCTCTGACCTCCAGGTGGCTGATTCTACTGAGTGTTTCTCTCAGATGATTTCTAGAACGTCACAGGGCACGAAGCCTCTCTTCTTACCGCTCGCCACTCTGATGAAGCCCCCGCATTCGCCCTCACTGCTCACACAAATCTGAAAGTCAAAGAGAAATGTTAACACCAATAACTATTGTGAGTTACAAGTGAGTCCCAGGTGTGTTGGTAAGAACGTAGGGCTGCACTGTGATTCAGTGGTCAGCATTGCCCCCTCACCGCATAAAGGTTCTGGGGTTTCTTTCTGCATGGGTAAAAACTTTGATTATATTATGCTCCGATCTCTGTGTTTATGTGCATTAGTCTCCAATGGCTTTTGTATTTTTTATTTACTTACTAGTCACTATTTTGTATATACAAAGTTTCATTTGTATAATCTCACATCACAAAATCTAGATACTGAGTTAATATACTCTGTTGCCTAACTCAAGTATAAGTTATCGCTCCATGCACAGTATTGTCATTACACTTAAAAGTGATGATGATGATGTATTTGAGATGAGTAGTGAGATCTGACATTGATAAGTGAGATTTAAAGAGATGGAATGGGATGTTTTGAGGAATAAATATTTTATTTTTTGATAAACAAAATAGGGGATCAGACTTTTCTCTCATCACAGCTCTTAATTTCACTCTGAGAGCCCCATAACGGACCAAAACAGCCTGTGTGTCCATGCTTGCTCACTCAAAGTGCTCTAGAACATGATCCCCTGAGTCTGTGTGACTAAAGGAAAAAAATAAAGAGGCAACGGCCACAAACTCATCTTGTGTTCAATGGTTTCATCTCCACTGGGGGTTGTTTACTTTAAGACTCGTCTGAGTCCAAACATGCCCTGCAAAGTGTTGTGGGAAAAAGGGAGCTTGATGTTAGTTGAGCTGTTTTGCCAAAATGCTAATTTAGTGGTAACCCTAGAGAGGGATCCTGTGTCGGCCATCTTCAACCAAGGTTTTGAGTGGATTCAGTAAGTGTGTGAGGGAAGCGGTGACGAGGGAGTTGCAAGAGTGTAATAAGAGTTCTAAAGTGCTGCTGAGTAATGTGAATTTAATGTGATCTAATAGCCAGGGTTGTGATCATGAATTAGATGCAAGTGTAATGTTGAAATTTTAATGTCTAGGATGAAGGTCACTGCTGCTCGATGTTCACCAGACCAATCCTGCTGATGTTTGGCCTAAATGAATCTTTCATATGTTTCATGTTTGTGGCTCCAAGGGCAGGTAATTGACCTTGCCAACAATTGCATTGCTATCTCTGACCTGCCTCTTTATCAGAACCAGAAAAAAAGCTGCCTCTTTGATGAAAAGCCCGTGTGTAGAATTTGAAAATGTGACAAAAGATGCTGTGGCAGACAGCATCACTCCAAATAGACTTCATGGGCCCAAAATATCAAACGCATTCTGAAACAATCCTCTAAACATCCTGTAGTGAAAGCAAAGTCAGCAACAGAAGCTGTACTGTTATTCACTTTGAAAATGATCATCATTCTCTCCTAATCTTCATCATAAACATTGGTACCTGGCCCTCTTTCAGGGTGATCTGGCCTTGTTCCTTACAGCCGATGAACGTCCTGTTACACCTGAATACTTGGTCCCCAGCTCGCACCTGATGAGCAAAGGCTGCTGGAAAGAAACCGATCCTGTCGTCAATCACCCCCTGGAAAAAAATGTATTCATTAAATATAAAAAGAGCTGACATATAGCACAAGAGGACTGGTTACCATAAATAACACCTGCACAAAGTTTTATTTGAGATCATTATACAGTACCTAACATAAAAGAATAGCCTATGTTTCTTTTTTGTATTGTATGCTGGTGTAGCATCATACACTAATGTTTGCCTCTTTACTGTTAGTGTTCACTGTCCAAAGACCAAAAAGACCAGATGTCTGTTTATCTGCAGGCTGAAGAAAACATTCAACTACATGATGAGGTTCCCTG